GTTGGACTGGATGGTCCTTGTGGGTCCCTTCCAGCTCAGCACATCCTGGCATTCTGTGAGTCTGGGATTTTTAGGCCATGAATGTGGAAAGATGATTTCAAGATGCTTCAAAGACCACAAACTTGAGAAGCCTGTGCTCCACAGGGCTGCCCAGAGCCCTCAGATCCCCCCAGCACCAGGAGCAACACAAACCAGGGACAAACCACCCCACATCGAGAGAGAGAGGGAGTCCTGCCCCTCCTCCCCCTCCTCCTCCTCCTCGGCCACCCTCGCCTTTCACATCCAGCCTGCAGTCCAGCCTCACCACCCTCACCTTTCACATCCAGCCTGCAGTCCACGGAGGCCTCCCCGAGGGCGTTGATGGCCTTGCAGGTGTAGACGCCCCCGTCGAAGGGGCCGGGCTTTCGGATCTCCAGGGAGCACACGCCCTGATCGATCAGCGCGATGTACTTGGGGTCCTCCCGGATCTCCATCTGGTTCTTCAGCCAGATGATTTTGGGCTGGAAAGCAGCAGGATCCGTTCGTTTGTTCAAAGCAGGGAGAGGGGTGAGAACTCTACCTGACCCCAAAATGCAGTCCCTCCCTCTGCCTTCGCCTCGGCCCCGCCTGGAGCTGGTGGCCACGGTGGGATTCACACTCAGAAGGAATTTGAAGACCCAAATCTCCCATTTTCGAGCCCAAACCACTGTTCCACACGTCCTCCAAAAGAAGCAGACAGGACATGGCTTGAATTACAACCAGTCTCCCACCCCCGTGAAGGAACACCCCAAACCTGCCCCAGTCTGACTCAGGGGAGCAGCTGCAGCTCCCCGCCCTCACCCAACCCTAACCCAGCCCGACCAACCACCTCTCAAGCCCTCCATCCCCCTCCCAACCCCCCTGGTGCCCACACACGAAGAGGTGCTGCCCCTCTGACCTGGGGGAAGCCCCTGACAGAGCAGAAGAGATGGGTGTTGTAGCCCCGGGTGGTGGTTCGGTCTGTCAGGGGCTGCGTGAACTTTGGAGGCTCCATCATTTCCCTCTGGGGGATCTTCTCTGGCTGGTAAGTGGTTTCTGAGGAAATAATCAGTTCTGGGCTGAGGCAGAGCTTGGGCTCCCAGGCTGACCCACACGTGGTCACGGGGTACCCAAAAGTCCTTCTGCTCCCTCACATGGGCCAGGAGTCACCACCTCCGACCCCAGGACCTGCTCCTCAGCTCAGACCAGCCCTGTCTTCCCATCCAGCCACCCCAGTGCCCAGTCCCTGCAGGGGACAGGGCAAATGTCAACCCTCAGTCCCACTGGGATCCATCCCATGGGCAGCAGGTCAGACCCAGGCCAGGCACCTCCCTGGATCTGCCACTCCATCCCCAAAACTCAGGGCACAGGAACAGGAGCTGGTGGGCAGAGACCCCCAACTCCCCGTGTGCTCCCAGGGAGCAGGCTGGGAATGGATGGAGGGGGAGCAGGGCCGAGGGAGGATGGAGGGGGAGCAGGGCCGAGGGAGG